CAAATTTTCATAGGGAGATAAGAAAAATATTTATTTAATATATACCTTTTGATTTTGTATAGGGTTTCTTCTCTAATGTGCTTTCATAATGTAAATGAGGAATGATTGAACCTAATGAAATTAAATTTTACTTTTAATAAGGGTTGGTTTAGTTTTTTAAAATTGGTTGGAAATTATCCCGCCGATCCTTATTTAAAATCAATGCAGATCACTCATTTTTAAAAGAATCACGAATTATTTAATTTTCTTTTTAAAAATAAATTTCATTAAGAACTTTGGAACTTAACCTTGTTAACATGTATAAAGAAAGAAAGGTTGCCATGATATTTTTCCAATTTTGAAATGTTTTGTTGCACGGGAAATAATTCGTTGTAAAGAAGACTCACTTGACAGTTACGGTAACGAATCACGAAGCTTCTAAACATTTTGTTTCTCAACTGAATTGTTGGGATCAAAATCAAAGGGTAAAATTTTGTAATGAGTCTCTTTTTTTTTTGCTGCGCTGGCTTGAAATTATTTGCAAATTGATTTAATAAAATTGAAATTTTTTTGAAAACGAAAATATTACTGTTCAAAAAAATAGATGAATTGTTGTGGTTATTTTTACATGCGAATCCCCGTTATTGCTATCTATCTATTTAACGTATTTCGTGCAACCAGAAAATTTATCTTGCTTGGTCAGAAATCGTGCTTCGCTTTAGATGTTTTTGTGTGGTGTCTACCGTTGTCTACCGTCAGGTCTTCGTCTTGCTCTGACGTTTTGGACCGTTTGAAGTTACCAGAAATGACATAAAACTGATGGCCTTGTCTTGGGAGCTTTTACCTTAGATCGTCAAAGACTTGTCACACAACGTGTTAGTATCAATGTTAACCAGTCACGAGACCGAGATTCAAAAAGACTTTTTTACGTTGTCAATTTTTAATGAAACAATATTAATATGTACAAAGTTTTTTGAAGGATAATGGATGATCCTTTCAGTTTTTTTTTTTTTAATAAATAAATAATGAATAAATAAACAAACAGATTTGCCTCTTGAATATTTTTTACTCGCTTGCTTTTTGTCTATTATTAAAATAATTACTCAAAAGATAAATAAGTTTGTCTCTTGAACATTCTTTGCTTGCTTGTCTTTTGTCTAGTATACCAAAAAACAATAACAATATCATCCATCTTGTCATCAATCATGTTCATGAAGTCACTCAGCAGAACACGCATAGTGACTGTGTCATGTAAAAAATCAAGAATACATGGAGGTAAATTACAAAGTGTTCAGGGTAAACAATGCTGACAACGCCATGATTTTTCTAATTTAAATTTAATCAATTGATTATCAGGCCTGAAATATTATTACACTTTTGTTCAATAGCTATTATTGTGAACAAATTAATTATAGGTTGCATTGTTTTAGTGCGATCCATTCTTTTATGATGATGAAATTGCTAAAAACCATTTTAATGAGGAAGAACTTGAAGAAATTTCTAGTATTTCTGCTCCAATGATACATAATTTATCGGACAATATTATCGAATATCTCAAAAAATTTGTAGACAAGGTAATTATGCTTTACATACTTGTATAAATATAAGTGTATTCCAGAAATCAATTTATTTTATTGCTTCTGATAGAAATCACCTAAAGAACTTCGTACAACTATTAACGAGATTGACGAAAGATTCGATAAAAATTATGATAAGCATAACTATCATGATTTCGACTACATAAGATTTGCGCTTTATGCATTATAAGTTATTATGTTTGCAACTTAATGTAAATCAATGTTTTGGGCTACTACTGACTTAAATGATCATACAGACTTAGGGAAATAGAAAATGAATCCCTAAAAGATGAAAATTTGGAACAGTGATATAATTGTTACGTTTGGAACTCTATATTTGACCAGAGTTTTGACAATATAAAAGAGACATCTATAGTACGGTAAGCATCTTATATACTTTGACTACTTGATCTCTGTCTGATTTTTTTAACTACGAAATGGAGAAAGTTGTAGTTGTAAATTCTACTAGAAAAAATGCAAAGAGAGTTTTAGGCGAGAATCTTAAATATGGTCATAAGGGGGATTGGATAATTAGAACGAAAGAGTGGTAGCCGGAACGAATTTGGGTATTAGTATGGAGAAGTGGGAAGAATATGGATTGGTAAATTTGGAACAAGGTTCCTAAAAGTGACATGTATTAAAACTCCGAAAATATGCTACTTGATTTGATGAGTAAAATGCAAATAGAATCAAAAATTATGCTCCAAATTACAAACAATAGGGATTATAAATTCGGGTAAAAAAAATTTATTTTTGAAATCTGGACTTGTACAACGAGAATTCTTATCATGAAATATTATAGGACTTATGATGGTGATGATAAGGTTGGATAACCCTAAGGGTTATGTATGTAAAGTTAGTCGAGATGATATTTTGGAGGTCCCTGACACTGAAGAAAAATTTCCAGAAGTATTGGAAATTTTAGCAGCTGTCCTAAATCTAAAGGTATTATTTTTATCTTCATTGCCATAACATTTATCAATATTTTTCATAATGGTTAGTCTATGAAGAATTTACAAATTCTTCTTTATCAGAATGCGATGTGACAAACATTCTTGCACGCAAAAGAAAAAAAAACAAGTCATGACACAAAACAAATTTCACGACCTGTAAAGGGTTGTTGGTTGGCTGATGAATTTAGAAACGTGGGCAAATTCAAGCTTAAATTAAATGAGGTGCATGAAGTTTGTCATGACTTGATTTTTCACGCACATTTATTTTTCATTTTTACATGAAGGAAATTTGAAATCAACTCATAAAAAAATGTACTGATCTAATTCTTAATAACTACGCATTATATTAATATTGCAACGTAATAAATCTCTTCCGATATAAATACGGCATCAACTTTATTAATATATATTCATGGATAAGAATATTAATATACACGTGTAAAATAAAAATAATAAGCAACAACTCTGTTACCATACATCGCACATTGTTGATTAGAAAAATGTTTCTCTTGATAAAAAAAACCCCCTTTTGTCCGAAACTTATACGATCGAATGAAAATGTAAGTTAGTAAGGCCAAGCTAGGGTTCCTAACCGTAATCCTACCCCCATTCGAATATTCGTAATTATTTCATCATTTAAAATATTTCAAACTCTTGCATTTATTTCAATTATTCATTAATTTTGATGAATTTTGTAAATACTTACAAATTACAATATACCTACTATATTATATTTACTATAAAAGAAAAAAAAACCATATTCCATTTGAATTTTGAAAAGACACTTTACTTGAACTTGGCATGTTCTTACACTCCCATCGTCACTAATACTAAATGAAGCTCTCACGTGGCCTACCTTCTTATTATGGTTTTTTTAGGTAGTGGCGATGAATTATTCGGTGGGTAATAGCAAAACAGATGAAAAGGTTTCCGAATTGGTTGTTAGGTATCCTGCATATTCTTCATAAACATAAATTGGCTCAACCATTCGTACTTGAAAATTAAGGAATAAAAACTATTGTAATTGTTACAAATGTTTGAAATAATTACGAATATCTGAAATAATTACGAATATCCAGAATATATCCAAAATAGTTCTGAAATAAAATTATATATATATATATATTCAAATATCCTTGAATAATTGATTTTTGAATATTTGCAAAAAATTTTGATTTTTACACGGCCAGGCAAAAAACTAAAAACCCATCTCGTTTTTTAAAAGAATTGATGTCTTAGAAAAACGATCTACAACAAAAAATACCATTATCGTTATTATTATCAAAACTTTTTCAATGACTCCTATCCTCTTTCATTCTTCTTCACAAGCTAATCGACATCGAATGGTGTAAGTTGACTTTACATACATACATACATTAGCATTAATGTCTTTTCCCGAAAAAAAATTTAATTCATCTAAAATTTTTTTCAAAAAGAAAACCCAACCCAAGGATAAATAAACCACCACCATCGATTTATATTCTAAGGGTAAGAACAATTTTTATACAAAATCAACTTTTGAATATTAAGCACGATCTTCATTATATATTGTGGAATTGATTAGAAACAACAAGATGCTGTGGGTAAAAAAAAAGAACTTGTCGCAAAGTCAAGACCCCTTAAAGGTGATGATTTATTTAATTCATTCAATTAATATTTATTTTATAAAAATAAGTTTTTTGGATCTAATTGGAGGTATAACATTAATAGAATTAAGTGTCGAATTTTCGAATCTAAATAGAAAATACAATGCGGTTATAACGTCCTCTCGATCTTTCAACACTTTCAACACGCATCAAAAACCAAGGTTTTTCAACCCTTATGGTCGATTTCGGTCCATGCCTGTTAAACTCAGCTCAAAGTCAACCACTCTCAGCAGTATTTTTAATAAGACTAATGATGTTTCAAAATCTACTGTTTCTCCTACTGTAAATATATATATATATATATGTTATGTTGATTTGTAAATTTTTTTTCCATGATTATTTATTAACTTAAAAATTATTAAAGCCCATCTCCCAAGATAACAATCTTAACAAACCAGACAATAATAGTTCTTTCGATCCTATAGTAAATATTTATTTATTTTTTATGACTAGAATTTAAATATATTAATTATGTATTTTAAAAAAATTCCTGCTTACTATTATTTTCTAGTATCATTATCCACATTTAACCAAAGATCAAGAAGCATTGGTATTTTTAAAATTAGTTATTTGAATTAATTTTTTTTAATATATATATATATAATATAATATAATTTCCCTTTTTTTAAATATAAAATATAGGTTGAAAAATTATTAAAGTCATCAAGAACACCTCAAGGTGGAATAATTGACAAGTTCAACTTGACAGTAACTTATCATGATATCCACACTTTAAAACCCGGAACTTGGATAAATGATCAAGTTAGTAATAATTATAATATTAATAATATTATTATTAGTATCATCATCATCATCATCATCATCATCATCAGCAGCAGCAGCAGCAGTAGAGTGATTTCTCACATACAAATGTTTAAATTTTTAGGTTATAAATTTTTATGGTAAACTAATAGTTGAAAGAAGCACAAATAATGATAATTTGCCATCAGTATTTGTATATAGTACACAATTCATGACCAAATATTTAAATAGTGGATATCAAGGAGTTTCTAAATGGACAAAAAAGGTGAGTCTGTTAGTTGGTAGCTAGTAGTTGAATGGAATTAGGATTAAAACAAAATATTTAGTAAGGTGGTTTACAAGTGATTATATATATGTGTGTGTATGTGTGTTATATATCTAAATAAATATTTTTTTTATTAGGTTGATATCTTTTCAAAAGATTTATTATTTGTACCAATACATAGTGGAGCACACTGGTCTTTATGTCTTGTTGATTTTCAAGATTTTAGGATAGATTATATTGATTCAATGTATGGTGGGGGAACAGCAAAAGGCATGGACGTAATCAATGTACACATAAAAAAGAATGCTTACATTATTTTTTTTTTAATTAATCTTTATATACTTTGACTGACATATATATATATATTCCTTATATATTTTAAGGAAGTAAAAGAATATTTAATTAACGAATGTCAAAATAAGAAAGGTGAAAATGCAAATCTTGATTTCAACAGTTGGGCAGAAAATCCAAGATTGAAGGTACATAACATTGTATATTTTATTTATTTGAAAATTTATTCCATTAGTCACTAATAAATCATTATTTCATTACTAATATATATATAATTAGAAAGTTCCACAACAAAAAAATTCTTATGATTGTGGTGTTTTTACATTAGCTTTCATTGAACACATTAGTAGGCAAGCACCTTTATTGTTTAATCAATCATTATTACCATATTTCAGGAAAAAAATAATATATGAGATTGCATCTGGTGAATTGTTGACATAATAATAAATTATTATTAGATAACATTATTGTTGCTGCATAGAATAATAATAATAAATTATATATCATTCATTGATTGGTTTTAAATCATTTTTATTATTAATATCAATTACCTAATAAATAATTACATACTTGGGTAAATATAATTTTTTTTAAAAAATTGTTGGCTTGTATAGATGTGAGGTCCCATAGGACCCCGAACAATCTTAGTAGATGGTACATTTGAGGTTTAATAGTAAATCACCTTTCCTCTACCCACTTTTTTTAGAAAATTATACCCAGATTTAAATATACCATCCCCAAAAAATATGAAAAATACCCAAAATTCAAATACACCATATGTGAAAAAAACAGTAATTTTTCTTTCCACTAAATTTAAATTTTTATTAAAATATAATTATTTTTTTCCCAGAATTATTTTCAATTGATCTTTTACACTATCTTGATTAAAAAATTGAAATTGCTCTAAAGCTAACCCATTTAATGTTAATAAACCACGTGGTTTATCATGAAATGCAAAATCACCATAACCCAAATAATATAATAATGAAGAAGAAGGTAAATGACACATGATAGTGAAACCATCAGAAGAAAAACAAGAAAAAAGGTTAAATTGAAGAGGCAAAAAAACTCGACATGAAATATAGGATATTGAATCAATTTCACAATGAGATTCTACAAAAGAATGATAATTACCATTTTTATAATAAAGAGACACTACTTGAATAATACATGTCATGTTTTTTATGACAGAAATACCAAAACCATTAATAGTTATTGGAAATAGAGAATTTATGTTTGCAGTAGAAATTTGAGGAAATCCTAAAAAATTAAACAATAATCAATAATTATTCTAAATTTAACCAATTTTTGTATCAATTAAAAAAACTTACTTAAAGCAGGCATATTTTTTTCTAATACTTCTAGACATGAACGTACTAACCATCTATTTCTTCTAGGAATTCCAGGTTGTGTAGTATGATTTGCACTAAGATAAGAAGCAACACTTTGAGCAAAATTTTGATTTATTGTTTGTTCATCATGCTGCAATCTAATTCCAATAACTTTACGTTCCATTCTTCTATTAGAATATGCTTCATGAGTGTGATGCTGATGTATAAAAAAGTCTAAATCAAGCTGATCATAAAGAACTCCAGTTTCAAAGCTATTAATCTGAACTTGATTTTTTTCTAATGGTTGACAAGAAACTTGGATGGGGTTTAACAATCTTGAAATTTCCATTAAACCACCTTTATAATGAGATTCATCACCATCCTCCAATTCAACATCATCTTGTTTATCCATTTCTCTTGCTGCTAAACTAATAAAATAATCAACTGAATTGTTACCAAAAAAATTTGATGATGGTTCAGAAGAACTACTAATTACTTCATCTTCATCTTCTTCTTCAACAGAAGGAACATTCATGTTAATAAAATTGTCAAAATTTTCTGAATTTTTCATCATGAGAATCTTTGCAAGAGCTGTTGCTTGCTTATATGCAATATGAATTATTCCCTTGATTTCTGAATCTGTTGGCAATCTCTTTAAAATTTCTAATTGATTCAAACTAACATATGTAGTGTAATGTGTCAGATACCCTATAAAAAGGAAATCATAAATTTTAAAATACAAGTTTTTTGCCAAATTAAAAATAAAAAAAGATAAAGATACTCACCAACTGCTGATGTCTTATCCTTCATCTCTGTATCATTTGATGAATATGCTTTATATAAATATGGTATCTTAGGTACAAGAGAAATCATATCATTAAATGTGAAATCAGGTATTATTTGTCTAACTAAACCAAAATAGTGTTCACAACCTTCTGAACCATACATCCATGGAAAAAATGGAAAATTAGGATAGTACTCCCTATGTGCTTTTACAAGCAATATCTTTTATAGATAAAAGTCATTAGATAGAATATTATCAAAATTATTTTATTTAAGTAATTTCTAATAAAAAACTTACCATAGATTCTGAAAGACTTGTAAGAATATTAAATGTTTCTGATGCAAGAAAATTTCGTTTTATGCTCATCAGATTAGGATAATAACTAGAACAATGTAAAATATGTGATTTCCAATGGTGCAAAAGAAATATCCTAACATTGAAACACAACATCTTTCTAAAGGTTCCATTTCTCTATTTAGATAGGCATCCACTAATTCTCCTAAAATTCAAGCAATTAATAGCATACATCACACAATTTAAGATGTGAAATTTTCGTTAGTTTCTTTGTAAAAAAATATTGTATTATAATTTAAAATGTTATTTACCCATTATATATAAATAAATAAATAATCCATGTTTTTCATTGTCAATTGGTTCATTTCTACAAAATACTTGCTTTAAAAAAGAAGAAGAAAATATCCTATAGGCAGCCCCATCATCTTGTCAATCAACCTTAGTAACATCACGAGAATACAAAACAGAATCAGGAAGTTTGCTCAAGTTTAAAATTTGCTCATATTGTGCACTGCAATTTCCAAAAGTTAAAAAACATGCCCCAGAAAAAAGTGCATTTCTGGCACTTTTTTTGGCATGAGATGGGTCACTAACACTAATTATTGGTCCAACATTTGGATATATTGGTGCTTGAAAATTGATATCTAAAAAAATTAATTTGAAGGTTATATTTTTGTCTTTAATTGTAATTAATAAAAGACTTATAAAATATATTTACTGTATAATTCATCTTTGAAAATCATTTTTTTTTCACTTGATAAATTCATAATCTTCCTTTATGCATTATATTCTGTTAGTGCACCATCAGCACCAAAAGATATTACATGAAGTGCAAGTTGGCTGCACATTTCAAGCAAGCTGTTGTGTATTTCAAATATTTCATCAGCTGTTTCCTTGGCAACAAGCCTACTACCATTGGTGGAAATTTGGGAAGTGGAATCTAAAATATATAAAAATTCCATTTAATATTCCAAGAAAATTTGGATGTTTATATAACTGGTAATAAATAAAGTTACTTACTTGTAGCAAATATAAACAAACTTGTGTAGCAATTGCATTTTGTTGTTTAATTAAATCAATAACATTGTATATGTCAGTATTATTTGTCACTTTTACTTCAGATGATGAAAATGTGGACAACCTAATAATGAAGAGTACCCCAGACGCTCTTTTAATTTTGTGTTGTCTGACATTGCAATTATTGGACCAGAATAATTAAACTTGTCAACTAATCTCTTTACTCGTGCAACATTTTCAAAGCAAAGATTGTAGTCATGGAGAGCATTATCTGAATTTCTTCGAATCAACCTAAAAAATAAAATACATAAGTTTAAATAACAATAGATAATAATGCTTAATTTTAATTTACCTAATATTTTGAATTGCAATCCTTTTCCTGCTTCTTCTCTCTTTGTTATTTCCAACATAACTTCACATAGACCTTCAAATGTAGACCATTTTTTAAATGATCCTTTTTCGCCTAGTTCAGCAAGTTTTAACCAAAAAGATTCTTCAGCTTCTAGATTAATATTATTGATTTGTTGTATAAGCTGCATAACATCACTATTAGT